TATTACGCCGGCGGGCTCAGAGGGGCTTCTGCTCCGAAGCTCTGAGCACCTCCAAGACGTGTGCGTGAGGTTTTATAGGGTTAATTACAAGCTTGGGGTATGCGGCCAATAGGCATGGAACAGCTTTAGCAGCATCATTATCACAAAAGTAGAGGCAGGAAGGCAGCAAACCAACATTTCAAGGCCAGATATGACTCTGAAAATTCAGCTGGCTAGCAAAAAAAACATGAACAGGGAATCAGCAAACCAACACTAATTAACTTAGATTTACAAGTTAGCCCAGCAGAACTCACGTCAGTGATCTGACACTTGTTACACTTAGACTTGTCAGTTAGCTTGTTAGCCCAGCCCGGCTTTTCCGTCACAGATGGATAGCTGTTCTCTTATTATTCCATTTTGTCAGGCTCAGTCTGAGATGCTCGGGAAGCAAAAGGTTTATGCTTCGGGTGCTCCATGGCCACTGACCTGACCACACCCTTGATAGTAAATACGCTCCCTTGCGCCTTGCACTGCAGCTCTGAAGTCAGCCAGCAAGCCACGCGGACTCCACTCCTAGACCTCCTCCACCACTCACCCCTCCACGGCCCATCCATGGTGAGAAGCAACCATTGTGAGGCTGTCTTTACGATGAGTGCTCAGTGGCCCAAGACACCTGTAACACTTCCACCCAGGCAGATGGAGCCTTTGCCTCACTCCATGGACAGGGATGAGGTAAACAGGCCTTCTGTCCTTCTCAGAAAGTCCTGGGGATCCTCCTTGTTCTTGGCCCCCACGAGGTAGCCTTATTTATCCCATAGCAGCTTTCCTTGCTGGAAGTGCAGAGCAGAGTCCTGGGTGGATGGATTAGGAGAAACTGTGGTAAAACCAGATCCAAGTTTTCTTCTCAATGACTTGAAATTGGACACCTCTTCAGTGACTCTTTTGGGCCCAAGTCAATCAGTCTATTTTGTCTTCCTTTTTTTGAGCACCATTTCCTGTATTGTTATGGCCATTTTGCTTTAAGGTCAGGAACCTAAGATTCATCCATTCATCTGCTCATCCATCCTCTTTCCATCCATCCCTCTAGTCACTGACCCCTTGCATACTCTAAAGCATTTCCTGAGCCTCTCCTGCGAGGCACTTCAAGCAGTTAGGGTTATAATGATTAATAATACATAGTCCTTGCCCTTGAGGAGCTAATAGTCTCCTGGGAAGCTTGAAAAATAAATAGCCAATTACGGTTAATCATACAGTGTAGTAAGTAATGTTATCGCCTTTCTGGGCACCAAGGGGGAACGTGCACGTTCCTTGCTCTTCCCCTTCTCTCTGTGGGGCTCAGGTGTATCCTGTCCCATTGTGACTTCTGACCAACCTCAAGCAGCTTTGCAGTGTCTGGGCTATAGTTTATAAAAGGAAAGTGGGAAATGCCACAGCCTTTGATAATGAATCAACTTTTACTTCTGAAGCGAAAGGAACACCGAGAGAAAACATGTTTCCCAGCTAGAGTCAGCTTTTCTTCCTTTACTTTTAGAAATGAGTTACTTAGAGCACTGGAAAATGCTAGTGTATGAATCATCAGGGCCCTTACCAGTTTATTCAAAATATTTATTCTGAATTGCAGATTCACTTTCCAGGCTTCAGTGAGTGCAATGCAGGGTTTACAGTTAGAGATGTCTCAGAAGAACAATTATTTTGTCATGCACCTTAACTCTGAATGCACTGATGAAGCAAACCACCTTGTAGTTCTTTCTTAATGTTCTAGCCCCAGTAGGAAGTTTGTATTTCCAGTGGGTCATGGAACACCCGTGCTGCTTCATTTCACCCTCTGCAGACTTGCCAGAACAACCTTGACTTAGACCTGCCTCAGTTGCCCAAAGGCAGCATTTTGCCCTTCATCCTACTGCTACAAAAATACATCATTAAATTAAAGGTCTTTTCATTCTTGGATCCCTGATTCAGTCCATCCTTTTCCTCCACAAGACACCCTGATATTTATCACAAACACTCTGAGTATCTTGGCCCATTGTTGGCCTGACCCAATATTGGCTCAAATACCTATTCTCATTCTATTAAAAAAAATCCTCTTGGATAGAAAAGTGAATGCAATTGGCACCTGACAAGGTTCTAGACACTATGCTAAGCCCTTTCACGACGTTGCTTCCTTTAATTCTCAAAATAACTCTGTAAGGTGGGTAGAGTGGTGCCTGGCACACAGTAGATTGCTCACAACACGTGTGTGGAATGAATGAAGCAATTTTTCCATTTTACAGACTAGAAAACCACAGATGAAAAAAGTCATGCCCTTTGCTTGAGATCACCCAGTGGTCAAAGCGGGCCAGCCTCTTCCTTCTCCAGGCCCTCGGTACCACCTACTTCAGAGCTGACCACATTCTAGAAGGCGTGTGCTGCGTCACCAGTTGAGATCTTCTAAGTCATTGTAGTCAGCCCTTACTAAGCCCCCTCAAATAATTAAAAGTCCTTTATCCCTCAACTGTGAACACATAAAGCAAGACTTTATCTCTGTGTCTGTGTTGGATAAAGGCCTGTCCTGAATCTCCCCGGTCTCAGATAACAATTATCCAAAGAAGCATAGAGAAACTCTCAGGAAAGTCATGGGGCAGAACTAATTTTAACGACTTGACGTAAGAGCCCACGGAGTAACGGTGGCTTACTCACACCGTCCCCGCCACGTCGCCCTTTGCCGCCCTGCTGGCTTCATGGCCCTTCCCAGGCTGCAGGCCTCCTTCTACCTCCCTCCGTCTCTCCAGCACCCGGAGGGGTCCTGATCCCTCCACCCGAAGCTTACTTCTGTCTGTGATCTGTCCCCGCACTAAAGGACCTCTGTGTCTCCCCACGACTTGTGAAAAGCAAGGCTGCTCGCTAGCTTTCACCTGCAGTCCTGTCTCTTTTCTAGAGTTACTATTACATTAGTGGACATTGGTGGCATTGTTGGATAGGCCCTAGTCTTGTCTTCTGACTGGCTTGGACGTTTGCTGCCCCATCTTGGGCGTGCTCCTGAGCATGTCAGGTGAACTCTGGGAGTTAAGAGGGAGGTGGTATAAGGTCCTGTTAAGTGCTTCTGATAATCACTCCCATCCCCTACTAGGCACCAAATAAAAGAGGAACTGACACTCTCTCACCTTCCTTGGCCTTAGTTCTGAATCTCTTCTACAAAAAAGGAGAATCCTGCTGGTCATGACAACGCACAGAGTCTTGCTTCTCTCCGCAAGCTGCACTACAGGCTGGGTTCCTCAGGCCCAAGCAGCCCAAAGCGGAGTGCCCCCTTTTTCCCAAGACCCTTCCCTTCTCCTGGATCCCTCGCCTCAGTTAATGCCACTGCCTCCACCGCATCATCACCGGACCAAATCATTCAGCTTTCTCC